GAGACACAGACAGGTGTGTGTGTGTGTGAGAGTGTGTGTGTGTGTGTGTGTGAGAGAGTGTGTGTGAGTGTGTGTGTGTGTGTTAGAGCTGATCACATGATCACTCTGACAGGTCTGGACTTGTTTTCAGTGCCAGGGGAGCCTGATGTGCCACCTGCCCCAACTACCCTCCTCCTCTTTCTCCTCTTCCTCCTCCTCTTCCTCCTCCTCTTCCTCCTTCTTGCACTGTGCAGTATCAGGGTTAAAACGTATTTTAAAGCTCGTTTCGCTCTCAGACTGTAGCACTTTATTTCCTGTTGCACAGGAAGTGATGTATTTAATGTTTCTGGTGTGTTTGTGGGGTGTTAGCCGTGTTAGCCGTGTTAGCAGTGTTAGCCGTGTTAGCAGCCTCTCTGATTGACTCTCGTAGCTCATCACCTGCTTCTGTTTACATTCTTCTTCTTCTGTCGGCAGCAGCGGTTTGTCAGCGACAGGAAGTAGTTCTCGTTCTCGTCTCTGCTGAAGTTGAAAACAAGTTCGGATTCACTTCTTTCTTTAGTCTTTCGTCTTCAGCCTGAAACATTTAAAACACTGAATCTGCTCTCTGAAACTCTGTGATCCGATGAATTAAAGGATTAAAGCTGGTTGATTAAAGGAAACCAGGTCACTGGTTCCAAATGAAGAAGGGATGAACGTTTTCCTCCCATCAGCACGACTTTCACCTTTTTATGTTTCTCGATTAATTAACAAACGAAGCCGGAAATGAATGAAATGTTTTCTGTTGTTTCTTTAAACTCTTTAACCGTCTTTTTATTATAATATGTTTATTGATTTTTACAGATGTTGTAATAATAACAACAATAACAACAACAATAGTGCTCAGTACTCCAAAGTGAAATAAACATACAAACAATAAATAAAGCAGTAAATATAATAACACATACAACCATCTACACACTCATACAGATTATATTGTAACACAAACACAACCTCTTCTGTCAGTTTTCAAGTTCCATAAATCTGAGATAATCCAACTCAGAACTACAAAAAATATCACAGTCCAGAGATCCGGTTCAGGTTTCTGCATCTGGATTGTGAATCAATGAACGACTTCAGTGAGGCCAGAAGAACAAAAGTGTTTAGGTTGATTAAAATATTTCCATTTGATGAAATGTTAATATTTAATAATTTTAACATTTGGTTTAAAAACAGTTTAAATCTCCTCAACTCCTGGATATATATATATATATATATATATAATCTGATAGATGTAAGGGGAAGTTTAGGGAAGAAATCAAGAGTTTAAATGATCATTTGAACAAGAACTTTAATAAAAAATGGCAATAAAAATGTTTTTTATTGAACCTCTGCAGCTGGTTTTGGGTTTTTAACCTTTTAAAGTCTTTCAAGCTGCTTCCATTGTTGTTGTTGTTGTTGTTGTTGTTGGGTGTTTACTGTCATTAGTCTGCAGCACGGTATCATTACCTGCTTCCAGTTTGTCAGCTGCTGCTGTTAAAGCCTTCAAAATAAAGGTAATTAGAGACGTCTGAGGGTTGAAGCTGGAGGAAGGTAACAACTTTATTTGATTGTTTTTAATTAAGGATAAACATGATATAATTGTGTAAAGACTGAATGTGTCAGTTAAAGTTTAAAAGAGTTTCCATCAGTCTTCAGAAGTTCCAAGAATCATCGACAGGATTCGTCTGAACTTGAAAAGGCAAATATTGTGCCGCAGTCGTAGAGTCGGAAGTTTATTAGTTAGTAAGTTTGTTCTTTTCAGTTTTTGTCCATTGTTTGCTGCCTCGACGCTTTGAGTTCCTGCACAAACTCTAACCAATCTGACCTCCGACCTCACTGTAAAGCTGCTCTCATTGTTGCATTAAAGCGCCGTCTCGGGTTATTTGATATTCAACACAAATCAACCGTCACATTTGCAAAGCCGAGCTCCTCTGAGACGCCCGCTAACCTCCCATCAGTCACGGCTCCCTGCTGCTGGTTTGCATATGAATAAATCGCTTTTGAGTCGCGAACGTCGGATAAAAGACGTGAGCACGTGTCTGCTGCCTGCACGCCATCATTGTCCCCCTCGCCGGCCTCGAAGCGGCTGAGCAACCGACTCTTTTGCGTGCGGCGTGTCGGCGGCGGCGGTTGAAGAGGACTCGTGCATGGATTTGTTTTTATGTAAAATACATTTTGAAATATTTCAATAAACGGTCAGAAAATAAGGCAGATGTTCGAACACAAAGACAAACACAACGTCCGTTTTTACCAACATTGTCTCGCTTGGATCAGACGGACTGCACGCCAACGTGTCCGATAAACAAATGAGTTTAAATCTGCGATAATCTCTGCGATGAACAATCAAATTCTTCAACCACTTAAGTAAAATTAGTCGAACCACAACGGAAAAAGACTTTCTCTGGTGTGTTAGCAGGAAAGTTAAATGTATTCAAGTGGTTGAGAGTTCAGTCAGTTTTGCGTTAAGGGAGTTTATAATAACAACTTTATAATAATAATAACTCTATGATTAATAATAACTTTATTTATCAGCTCATAGTCGTTTAAACAGCAACTGTACTTTATATATTTGTTGTGTTTTGTGTAACTGAGCTCAGTAACTGCAGCTATCAGTTTTATTTCTCTAATACATTTTATTACTAAGTAAACGATCATCATTTAATTTTCATCGTAAAAAATATAATAAGTCAGAGTCCAGAGTTTCCTTTATAATACTAAACTATATAAACAAAAGCAACAATATGAACATTTAAGAAGTCAACAAATGTTTGAGTGACTCAAAATATTAATAAATCATCAAAAATCTGTTTAATGATTCGACTGTTGCTTTCAGCTCGAATGTGATTTATATTAAAAAGTTAAAAAGAAAAATATAATATATATATAAATATCTGATACTCAAGCTAATAACAAACACCTGAACAGAGAGGATCAATAAAGTCTGTTTTAATTCATCAAACTGCTCAAAGTGAGACATTTCCTGTTAGATTTCAGAATAAAAGCTCTTTTATTTTGACGTAAACTTGAATGTGGAGCTCTAAAGTTATGAGATATGATTATTTATAATAAAGTAGTTGAATGTTTACAGCTGTGATAACCTTCAGTCACACGTTTGATTATATGTTAATTAATAAAACCAGAATAAAACACTGATTATTTATCATTTTTAATTCATCTTCATTGTCTGCAGTTATTATTGTGGCACTAAATGATTCATATTATCATATAGAGTAGTTTGATTTTGGTTATTATTATTATTTCCTCCGTATTTATTATTTATGTCTTTATAATAAACATGATTCCAGATGTGTTTATGATATAAAAACTAAGTATAATTAATACATTAATAACATGATATATACAAATATAAATGATGTTTATGTTTCTGTGACGAGTGTGTAAAGTGTGTTTGATGACATCACGCTGTGGTGGCGGCGATGAAATGCTGACTCAGACTGTTTGACTGCAGATCCGAATGCAAATATCTGCTGCTGGTGTTTGATCAGATTTACCTGAGAATCCCAGAGCAAACACACACACACTAATCTAAAGAAAAACTGTAATCTAAAGATCTTTCAACACTGTTTGTGTTCTGTCGCCTGTTTGAGGACGAATCTGATTTCTTTCACTTTAGTTGGTTCCAGACGTGTTTCTGTCTCACTGCAGGTTTTATTCATCGTGTTGTTTGTTTGTTTGTTTGTTTGTTTGTTGTGTTCAGGGGAGGACAGCAGTCCGGAGAACCTGCTGCTTCACGGTCCGTTCTCCAGGAAACCCAAACGGATCCGGACGGCGTTCTCACCGTCTCAGCTGCTGCGACTGGAGCGAGCCTTCGAGAAGAATCACTACGTGGTCGGAGCCGAGAGAAAGCAGCTGGCCAGCGGGTTGTGTCTGACCGAGACGCAGGTAGGCATGATGGGAAACAGAGGGGCAGCAGTGCATGATGGGAAGAAGACGGGCAATGTTTTTGTCATCATCAAACCTCGACTTTATCAAACGTATCAAAGATCAGAGAATATGAATGAATGAATGAATGAGTGAACAAATGTCTGTATGATGATGATCCAGATCCGAGGACTCTGGGTTGGGGGTTGTGGGGGGGGTGTAGTGAGTCAACGGTTAGTCAGATCCACGGCGTTCCCGCCCTCCTCGCTTTCTCAGGAGTGATTGACAGTGTTTGTCATCAGGTCGCCACAGAGATACGAGGCCTGACGCCAGTGAAACGCCGTGAATCATCCACGATTATTTATGAGCCGGTTTCACAACCGAGGACAGGAAGAGAGACAGCGAGCATCAATCAGCAGTTATTAATCAGGCGTTACAGCGTCTGAAGTCACTACGTCTTTATTGACGATAATGATCCAGTAAAAGGACTCGCGGCTCCCATCCAAAAACAGACGGCTCGTAAAAACATCCACGATTCAAAATACTGAATAGTAAAAGTAAAGTCCTTAATGAATGTAAAGTGTAAAAGACTCTGAATGAGGACATTTTGCATAATGAGCACTTTTTGTATAGTTTTAGTGAAGAAAGGTTTTGAATGCAGAACTTTTACTTGCAAATGAGGATTTTTACGAGAGTTGATTGTCAGTAGTTCTCTTCCTCTGGTGATCAAAAGCATTGCTCTGAAGATCAATTCCTTCAATTTCAGGCTTAATTTAACAACTTCTATGCATTTAAAGGAGGGAAACATTAGCTGTTAGCTAATTTTTATCAATCGTTAGTTCGGTTGCATTTTGCTAACGTTAGCTTTCAGACTAGCTAGCTAACAATTGATGTAGATTATGTAGCTACAGAGCATTATGCTAGCTCGCTAATGTAGCTATAAAGTAGGTCTTTGTACAGTAGAGAGAAAGTGTTTGATTGGACACAGCATTAGTAAACGCCCCCGAGTGCAGGATGAGTCATCAAATACTTTTATTGATTATCAGGAAACTGTAAAATACCGTTAAGAACACCTGAAGATACCTGAACAGAACTTCCTGTCCCTGTTGGACAGAAACTAGAGGACAGGAGACGGACAGAGACAGAAGAGATAAAAACACTTAAATTCTGACAAAATAACAAACTCTTGAGTTTAATTTGTGGAAGGAATCCAACAGGAAATCACCTCCTCGCACAGATTAAACTGTCCGTCACACACAGTCTGATCTTAAAGTGTCTCCTCGGGGCCGTTGGCAGCGGCGAGGAGTCGATCTGGATCCTGTCAGACTGATTTAAGATCAGTTCAAGCTGACAGATTGTGCAACTCGAGCTCTCAGTCGGGACTCAGCTGGACGTGTTTGAACTGCTCCGCATGTCAGAGTCATGTTTTACCAGCAGGAAGATCTTAAATCACTGTGACGCTCGTACAGTCATTATTACTGTCAGAGGAGAAATACTGCAGTAGTAGAGACTGATAGTACTGATAGTGATAGTGCTGATAGTGCTGATAGTGCTGATAGTGATAGTACTGATAGTGCTGATAGTACTGATAGTACTAATAGTGGTGTAAATAAGTAAAATAATATTAAATATCAGTTTAAATACACACTCATGGATCATAACATGGTATAAAATACTTGCAAAAGTACTTTAATACATCTTTCTGCTTGTGTGTCTCTACTGAAACATCAAAACTGTTTAATCTTCTTCTATCTGTATCTTATAAATGAAAAAGTTAAATTCATAATCCAGAAAACACATGAAGTGTTTGCAACCACACGACGGCTGTGGCTCAGAGGCAGAGCGGGTGTCCTAATCGGAAAGTTTGTATGGTTCGATCCCCGCTCTCCTGCAACGATGAATCGAAGATTACCATATGAGCAAGATAGCTAAAAACCACCCAACATTGCTCCCGATGCATCGGTGTGGTAATGTGTATGAATGAGTTAGTTTCTGTTTGATGGACTTTGCATCATGAGTGAATGTTGTGTGAAAGGGTGAATGTCGGCATGTAGTGTAAAAGCGCTTTGAGTGGTCGGAAGACTAGAAGGCGCTATATAGTACAGGTCCATTTACCATTACCATTTACACGTAGACGAATTATACCAGTTTTTAATTATACGGTATTATTATATCAGTGTTTCTACTCCCTTTGTGTAGTAACTGTAATAGTGCTTGTGATAGTACGAGGAAGGTGATAAGGTGATGGAGTAATTGTAGTAGATTCAAATTAATACTGATTTGTTTTTATTTGAATTTAAAGTAGTTACAGAGGAGGTAGAGGGATTTACAGTGGAACAGGAAGTCCTCAGTAAAAGTCCTGCATAGAAAATACTTATAAATGTATCAGCATCAAACTACAGTTAAAGTACCAAAAGTAAAAGTACTCATTATGGATAATTGACTTATAATTATTGATCTGGTAAATTAATTATTTACTGCTAATATTAGATAATGAACTTTTTAGTACTTTTTAATTTATTATATTTTGTGTTATTAAATAATTTACACTCTGACTTTATGATAAATGAGTGAAAAGTAGCAGAAAATAAAAATATAAACACATAAAAACTGTATTAAGTACAGTACTTCAGTAAATGTACTTAATTACTCTCTCCTATAGGATGTATTATTAATTATAGATTGATTATTTAAAGGGAAAACTCTTATTGTTCCTATAAACAACAAGAGTGCAGAGGAGCAGGAGGAGGAGGAGGAGGAGGAAGGTGTCTCACAGTATCTGTTGTATTAAACCTGTACTAACACCTGTCTGTCTGTCTGTCTGTCTGCGCAGGTGAAGGTGTGGTTTCAGAACCGCAGGACGAAGCACAAGCGTCAGAAGTTGGAGGAAGAGTCTCCTGAAGCTCAGCAGAAGAGGAAGGGAAGCCAGCATGTGAACCGCTGGAGAGCTGCCACACAGCAGCCGGGAGGAGAGGACGTGGACGTCATCAGCGACGACTAGACTGCAGCACACACACGCACACACACACACACACACACACACAGTCTCACTGTCAGATGTCTAAATAACTTTAAAGGTGCGTTCAGGTGCACAGGGATCCTCTATGTCAACAGTGAGTTTCAACATTTTGTTTAACTCATCTTTTAAGACTTTCAAAGTTGGAAAACATGATTTTCCAAAAAAAAAAAAAATAATTCTCACTTCAAAAGGGTGAATTTTTTTGTTTAACTTAGATAAATGATCATGATCATCTTTCAGGACATTCAGAGGTTGAAACCGAAAACTTGAAAAGTAAAATTTTCAAATACTTAAAAGTTAAAAGTTAAAAACATTTCACTTGCCTTTCAGGGCTTCCGTACTTATGTGAACAGGATGAGCTAACGTGGCTAATGTTGCTAACAGACTCAGAGTTAAAAGAGTTCAGGTTCAGCGTCTTCTTCCTTTGTCACCCACAGAGAACCGACTTCGATCTGGTTCTAGTTTTGAACCGTTCGCAGCTTTTCGACCAAAACAAACTGGTTCTCACCTGGAACCAAAAAACAGCAGGTTAACCTGGATTTCAGTGGTTCCAGGACTGGTTCAAGAACCAGAGATAATTTGGTGGAAAAAGACAAAAAATGTTGCAGGAAATCTTTGATATTACAAACAGCGAATATCTGCTGTAAATAAATAATAATAAATAATAAATAAAAAGATAAAAATGTAACTGTGGAGGAGGAAGAGCGCTGAATCCCCTGAACGCACCATCCCAAGGAAAACAAAAGTGCACAAGAGGCAGACACTGAATGCACCATGAGACAACTTTAGATGTGATGCAGTGAAAAGAAAAGAAATATGAGCCGTAATAAAGGTTTTAGAGTCTTCAGATTCATTAAATGTTGCAGCCGTCGGCCCAAAACCAACAGAAAATACTTTAAGTATTTTTAAGTCCACAGACTTTAGAGAAAATTAAAAAAAAACTGAAATCAGAGGAAATTCAATTCTGAGATTATTATTTGTGACTTTGTGGATAATTTGTGACAGAAGTTTTACTTAAAGCAGCAACAAGAAACCTTTATTTTGTGTTGATTCTGGCGGCCCCTGTGGATGAAAGCGGTAGTGCTTCTACCTCACATTAATAATTAATATTTAGAAATATAAAATATATTACCTGTGTATGTCGCTCATAAAGAGGCTTCAGTATTACATTTATTTTGTTTATAACCAATGATACTCTTCGCGGTACATTTAGTCGAATTCATTAATCAAATATGGCTGCCTTTCTGCCTAAATTTCAAAATAAAAGTATGATGTTGGCACTTTGTGTGACGCTGGTGCGTTCAAGTTGAAACTCGTTCAATAAGCCGCTCGTCGACAGACCGGCATTTCGTCTTCTCTGATTTCAACACGATTCACTCAGATTGAAAATAAAAGTCGTGATTCATTTAAAACGAGTAACGTGATGCAGACAGAGTCAGGTGGAGGTGTTTTCATGTTCAGGCAGAACTTTAATTACTCGGCAGGTTCCTTTAAGTGGTCGCATCAATCTGCCAAAACACAAATCTTCCTCTGGTCTTCGTTTACGGCTCAGATTTCTTTAGATTGGTTCCTGTTGCTAAAAATATAAACTTCTAAGACCAAAACTCAACATTTTATTGGATATTTAGACGGTTTATTCTATTAAATCTTTCGTTGCTGCAGAGATTTATACACACACACACTCATCAACACAGGACACACACACACACAGCTCACGTTTCCGAGGACTGATGGATGTCCCTGAAGGCATCAGCCGCTCATGCAAACAGCAGGAAACTCACCTGTTGACCTGTTGGAGATTTAAACACAAACAAACTCTGATCAGCCACGAGGGAGGAGCTTAAAGAAACTGTAACTTCCTGTCGGAGTTGGACTGACGGTGAGATTCGGCGCTTCAGAGAGGAAAAAAAAAAAAATTCTAATGAACAGGAGTCCAAACGTGGTCACAGCTGTTGACTGAACGGTTAAAGATGGTGGATTTTGGTGCCAAACGAAACCAGCGTCCTGAAAAAAAGAGACGGTTAAAGCGAGAAGCTGCTCTGCTGAAGGTTTGCGAGCGTCTGTTGGCGACAGACGGCGGCCGGCTCGCAGGAAATCTGCCCGACCGAACAACATGTCTGAAAGAAAGAAAATAAGGTTCCTCCAGCAGAGACGCAGAGAAACAGAAACTTTCTCCTTAAAGCATCCGGCTGTCATGTTCTTTACATTCCAGACTCCATTAAGATTTCAGGGGATTTTAACGGCTCTTTGTACGAGACTGTTGAGACTTTTAGTGAAGAGATTCTGTCAAACAGTTTCTTTCTGGAGTCATCAGAGTGAAATTAATCATAAAAATCAGGTTTTAAACTCAGAAACAAACATTTGAGTTTGATGTTGACACCAAACATGCAGCTTTAACTCTGCGCTGAGAATGATCACATAATCGAACACAGTTTGGTTTTGATTCCTGTGATCACAGCAGCATTTATAACGACAACATTTCAGTTAATATAAATGGCATCAGACACTAATAATCCAGATATTAGTCTGTAAATGTAAACACACACATACAAGATGTCACAGGTACGTTTAACAGAAGCTAAAGTTGCTATTTAGCTCATTGATTAAACTTTAACAGACGTCTGAAAGTTTAGAGTTACGTTGAAGCTTAAACAGGTTGTTAAGCTGCTCACTAACAAACTGTCCGTTAGTGACCGAGCTAGCCAGTGCTAGCATGTTACCAGCATAGCATGACCGAGGTTCTGAACTGTGATTGGAGCACAGAGTGAAAAGGGGCGGGGCTTAGCACGGGTCCATTGGACAGTTAAATCTGAACACTACAAGTTTTAACTCATTTAGCCGATAGCATCCTGCCAAAGCCTCATGGGAATTAGAGTTATTGCAAACATATGCTAACAGAACAATCATATGTAATCTCGTGGAGGCTGTTAGCGTTATATATTTATTTAACTTTAACGTCATACACAGAATAAATAGTTTATTACTGGTGTTCTCGGGCTTGATTTTGAAAAGCATTCTGGGAAGTGTAGGAAAAGAACCAGTAAATGTTGAACATCACAAACTGATGATATTAAAAAATGTATAGATTTAAAGTGAAACTCTTCCTGCTGGAGGAACCTGAGATCTTCTTTCTGCCCCGAATGAAAAACAACTGTAGTTTAATAATAATAATAATCTCATTATTAACGTGTTCGTCTGTCGCTCAGGACTTCCTGTCTCTGACACTCAGCTCGGAGCCGATTCGTTCGGGGACTATTTTCAGCGGCGGATTGATCCACATTTGGTGCTCTAGTGCGTATTTGGGGCAGTGTGTGTGTTGGTGGTAATGAAGGAACACGTCACCGAGGACACACACACACACACAAGACGTTGTTGGTTTGAGTCCATATGAAATAACGGCTCCTGTATATGAGGGTTATTTTTCACCGCCTTGCTCAGCGGCACTGCGGCAGAGCAGCTGAACCCGCAGCAGTTTTCACTCTGCTGGTAGTTTTTTTTTTTGTCTTTTTGGAAACAAAATGTAGGTATTTATGTAAAAAAATGGATTTGAAAAAAGTATTCTATGCATCTGATGTGTATATAATGATGATAATAATAATAACGTGTGGACTGTTTGTTTGTTTGTTTGTTTGTTTGTTTCTCTCACTGCATCCGTTCATCTGTTTGTTTTCTGCTTCCTGGACAGATTTACCTCATCATCTCCTTATGTAGCACTTCTTCTTCTTCTTAGTCAGATCTATTTTTTCATCGTTTTAGGATCGAATGCACTAACTGTACAACTCGCCTCCTTTAAGGAAGGAGACATGGGACACAAGCTTTGTACTTCCTGTGTTCAGATTTGGAAAAAATATAAATAAAATGAAATGAAATCAAATGTTTGGTTTAAATCTGCTGATGTGAAGAAGAACCAGAACCAGAACCAGATCCTCTGCACATGTTCCTTCCTCTTTTATTTTATAATTTAACAATACATTATATTACAATTATGTTATTTTTTAAACTTAAAATCACAATCAGGTGTCTTATGTTGTAATTTGTGTTTGTATAATTAAAACTGATTTTACTTTATAAGAACAGAAAACAGAAACACTGAATGTGATGTGAGCTAAAAAAACAAAGAAAGTTTTAGAATTGGCAGAATATTTTGTTCATAGAGCAAAAATTACAGTTTCATTTCATCGATTTAATGCAGTGGTTTAAAGTTTAAAAGGGAAGATTTGTATTATTTTTCGTTTTTAGTCTAACAGAGTTTGTATTATTATTATTATTATTATTCTTATTATTATTATTCTTATGAGTAATAACCGCCTACAGACAGAGTGCAGTTAAATAATAAATATAACTCAGAGTTTTAAAGAACACTGTAATGAGTCGCAGTTTGTCCTGAAGGAAGAACAGAAACATATTCATAGAAATATAAAAGCAGAAGCACAGAGGACCGCCGCACCTGGAGATTCCCCCCGCAGGTTGAAGCTGATCCTCGGCGGCGGCGGCGGCGGCGGCTC